GCAAATCTGCACCTACTAAGATAGGGAAGAAAAGGGGGGAAATGGGGTGTTTCTTTTCTTATCACTGCCTTCTAAAGTCTAGCACATCCGTTCTAACAATGTGTACATTTAGCCACATGAGCCACAATAACAAGGGATGTGGAAATAGGTGAGGGAGATTTAGCTGGAACATCTGTCACTCGTTTGGCAGATGATGATGATTATCTTCTTCTCCTTCTCCTTCTCCTTCTCCTTCTCCTTCTCCTTCTCCTTCTCCTTCTCCTCCTCCTCCTCCTCCTCCTCCTCCTTCTTCTCTTCAACCCCAAGCTACAAGTATTTTCCTTTTTTGATGTATTTTTCAAAATTGGTAGCAAAATGATTTGAGTTGGGGGTGAAATGCAATTCCTTTAAAACATGTGTCAAAGCTCACACATATTTTTACACTGATGGTGAATGGAAGATGTGGCACACCCCTCAAAACAAAACCAAAAAAGAGATGATCTTATACAGCACTGTGACTTAGCTCTCTTTAAAGAATAATATAAAGTAGTAATACAAAAAGAAGCAGTACCACTAAAGAGCACGGAGGTTAGAAGAATCGGCCCTCAGGCCCTACACCTTGGTGTAGACCAGTGGTCCCCAACCTTTTTATCGCCGCGGCCCGCTGAGCGCGCGCAGGGGTGGGGGAACGGCCCAGGAGCTTTTGCGCACGGCCCATTGTGCACGGCCCAGGAGCCTTTGCGCTGCAGCGTTCATGTCCCCCGGCCGCTGCGCGGCCCGGTGCCAGGTACTCCACGGCCCGGCACCGGTCCGCGGACCGGGGGTTGGGGACCACTGGTGTAGACTATACAGAAATCAATCTTCTCCTCCTCCTTCTCCTCCTCCTCCTCCTCCTCCACCTCCTCCTCCTCCCCATCCACCAATATTCATCAACTCCTGCAGGTGAAGTCTTATATGCACTGAGCTGAGCTCTGGTGAGGTTTATACAGCTCACTTAAGTCCTAAACGCAGGTCAACAAAAATCAGTTGCTCTACATCTATTCATGTAACAAGGTGGCCCGATTCACACCATGTGCTAAAACAAGAAGGGCTAGGATTGCCCATCATGCTGAACTGTAAACTGATCTCACATAACACCATCCTAGCTTGCTGGGTACTTCTATCCTTCAACACTCTTCAAGATGCTTCCTTCCTTCCTTCCTTCCTTCCTTCCTTCCTTCCTTCCTTCCTTCTTTTTTTTTTATAAAAAGTTTTTAATTTTTTTTAAACATACAAACATACAAACAAACAATACATCCTTAATCATTCAGTGGAGTACATATTTTGTATCTTCTATTCCCTCCGCCATCATTTTCATATTATATTTCTATCATATCTTTATATTTTCATTTAGATTGTTACATCATTCTTCCCAAATTTCTTATGTTTATATTAATTCATCAAATATCTAAATTTATATATATCTATCTTCTCTAACCATTGATATAATTGCCCCCATACTTTAAAATACTCTGATTCTTCCTTTTCTTTAATTACCAATGTTAATCTATTCATTTCTGCACATTCCAATGTTTTCTTAATTACTTCTCCCCCTAAAGGGATTTTCTCTGCTTTCCAGATTTGCGCAAATACAATTCTCTCTGCAGTTACAATATGTATAATCAAATAAGTATTCTCTTTACTATATTTCTCTGGCAAGGTACCCAATAGGAACAGTTCAGGTTTTAAATCAATATGTTGTTGTATCATTTCCTCTAGCCATGTTCTAATTTTAATCCAGTAGTTCCTCACTTCTGGACCTGTCCACCACATATGATAATACAATCCTGGTATCTGGGGGCATTTCCAGCATTTAGCTGATTTATCTTTAAACAATTTTTCAGGTGCCATGTGCCATCTATAGAACATTTTGTATTGATTTTCTTTATATGCTGTGGACATCCGCCTGCCTGCCTGCCTGCCTGCCTGCCTGCCTGCCTTCTTTCTTTCTTTCTTTCTTTCTTTCTTTCTTTCTTTCTTTCTTTCTTTCTTTCTTTCTTTCTTCCTTCCTTCCTTCCTTCCTTCTTCTTCCTCCTCCTCCTCCTAGCGTATTCCCACAAGTGCAAGGTCCACTTTTCAGATCATGGGTATTTACGGGACCGCCTTCTGCCACCAGTAGCCTCTCACCGGCCAGTACACTCACATAGAGAGGGGCTCCTCAGGGTGCCGTCGGCCAAACAGTGTCGACTGGCGGCCCCCAGGGGGATAGCCTTCTCTGTGGGGGCACCTGCTATCTGGAATGAGCTCCCCCCGGAGATACGGAGGATCCCGGATTTACGCACCTTCCGCCGTGCCCTCAAGACCCATTTATTTCAACAGGCTGGCCTGGCCTAACTTCCCTTTTAATTGTAACTTTTAAAATTGGTTTTAAAACATTAGGGGTGTTTTAAATTGTTTTGGGCCAAATTATTTAATGGGTTTTTATTTTGTCTTTTAAATTTTGTAGTTTGTGTGTTTTATCTTTCTGGCTGTTCACCGCCCTGAATCCTTCGGGAGTAGGGCGGTATATAAATCTAATAAAATGAAATGAAATGAAATGAAACACCACTTTGCATGGTCAGCTGTGTCTCCAGGGCGCAGGCCTGACGCTTGCATATCTTTGTTGATGGTATCTTACCATCTCTGTTTTGGATGCCTGCGAGGTCGCCGGACATTGACTTCTAGTTGGTAGGCAGTCCTGGCAACAGTGGAAGGTGCTGCTCTCTGGACATGTCCTTACCAGCACAGCCGGCCTTCTCTCATCTTTTCTATAATTGATGCCACACCAAAATGTTGTCGAATGGTGTGATTTGTGATGTGGTCAAGAAGGGAGATGCCCGATACCCAACAGAGCATTTGCACTTCCCTGGCATGGAGAAACTCCTTTGGCAGATATAGTTGACTAATCCAGGGGTCAGCAACCTGCGGCTCTGGAGCTGCAGGTGGCTCTTTCAACCCTCTGCTGCGGCTCCCTGTCACTCAAAATATACGTCACAATCGCCAATGTGCGACACCCGCAGGCATGTGATTTATTGAGCTTTTCAACCGCTGGTGGGCCAGCCATGAATAAATCCAAGAAAAGAAAAGTTTCAGAAGAAAACAGAATGTTTAATTCAACTACATATGCTAGTTTTGTGGCCGCTCAAGAAATAGTCAGGCATGGGAAAGGTTTTGTGGCTCCCGGATTGTTTTCTTTTCTGTGGGAAATGGGTCCAAATGGCTCTTTGAGTGTTTAAGGCTGCAGATGCCTGGACTAATCTAATCTTGGTAGTAAGACAATTGTTCCTGGTCTCATTCATTGCTCCATATTTCTTCCCCCCAAAGTTGAAGGAACAATAAAACAGGGCTACCATCTCACAGCAAAGCACACAGTTCTTCCAGCCAGGACATACTGTACATTGAAAAGACATTCCTAAACTACCCAAATTAATTTCACAGGATAGCTGCAATGCCATCTGAATCTTGTTCTTCTTGGCATTATCGCAAAGGGCATTAGCAGAATTATGAAGCCTTCTTCAGCCGCTATAAAGGACTGTTACTCTTCATCATCAAATCATCATTTAAAAGTTCAAGCAAAGGCAATGTTTTCCGGCAGGCATTGCCAAGTTTTGACTATTTAACCAGCGGAGATGACTAAGGACTGCAGAGATCCATTGCAGACTTTTTGAAATAACAATTTTTTCCTAATAAGCAGTGCTTCTATTGAGCAGTGCTCAATAGAAATTCCATTTTTTCCCAATTATATCTACCCAACCCACCAGAGAGGGGAGGCAGGGAATTAGGGGTGGGATTCAGCCGGCTCAGATGAGTTTGAGTGAACCGGATGCTAATTTTACATCTGGTTCGTTGAATCGGTAGTTGCAAGGATGGCTGGCTTCACCCACTCTTCCCAGGAATCTCCACATGGCCTGTTTTGGATGCCAGGTAAGTGCAGCGCCCATGTGGAGGCTCTGAGACAGGGGTCAGCAACCTGCGGCTCTGGAGCCGCATGTGGCTCTTTCACCCCTCTGCTGCGGCTCCCTGTCAACTCAAAATATGCATCACAACCACCAATGTTTTCAACCCCTGGATAAATCCAAGAAAAGAAAAGTTTCAGAAGAAAACAGAACATTTAATTCAACTACATATGCTAGTTTTGTGGCCGCTCAAGAAATAGTCAGGCACAGGAAGGGTTTTGTGGCTCCTGGTGTTTTCTTTTCTTTGGGAAACGGGTCTAAATGGCTCTTTGAGTGTTTAAGGTTGCAGACCCCTGCTCTGGGAGGATGAAATATGGGCCTCCTGGAAGTTCCAGAAGTCAGGAAACGTGCCCATTTCCGGCCTCCGGAGGACCTCCCTCCTGGAGGCTCAAGGAAAGTCTCTGGAGCTTGGAGAGGGCAAAAATGCCACCCCACCATGGTGCAGGAGGCCGAGTAGGCCATGCCCAGCATGGCCATGCCCACCCAGCAACTGGGCAGAGAAGCAGTTGCTAAAATTTTTGAATCCCACCCTGCAGGGAATGCTATGTGTCCCTTCTCCTAAGTAGGTCCATCTAGCAGGACCAAGAAGAAGGGCCTTCTCTGTGGTGACTCCCTCCCTGTGCAACATCATCCCCACAGAGATAAGATCAGCCCCCATTTTGACACAGCTTCGAAGACCCAGAAGACCTGGTTTTGTCAGGGGAATCACCCCAGTTGTTAAATTAGGGACACGTTAAGTGAATCTGGCTTCCCCATTGAGTCTGCTTGTGAGAAGGTCGCAAGAGGGGATCACATGATCCCAGGGACGCTGCAACCGTCATAAATAGGAACCAGTTGCTAAGGATCTGGATTTTGATCACATGACTACGGAGATGCAGTAAGTGTGGTATTCAGCCGGTTTGGACTAGTTTGGGCGAACTAGTAGCTCCGACGATCAGCTGGCCCCACTCACCCATAACCGCTCTATCTAGAAAGATGAGCTGCTTTCTAGCTCATCTCAATCGAGCGGCACAGCTGATTTTTCCACCCCCTCACTGTTCTACTTACCGTTGCTGACTTGGAAGGTAAGCAGCTGAGCTTCCAAATGCTCCATTTTCAGTGCTGCATGCAGGCGCCTCAGGCGTACCCCTGCTCACCGAACCAGTTGTTAAACTGGCAGCATTCCACCACTGCATAAGTCCCTTTTTCCAGCACCGTTGTGACTTCGAACAGTCACTAAATGAACTGTTGTAAGTCGAGGACTACCTGTATAAACTAATAACAAAATAATTTGTTTAGAAATTGCTTGGAGAAAAGCGTGTTTACCATTTACAGGGCCAGATCATTCCTTTTTTTTGATCATCAAATGCTTCTTTCTGTTATTGTTTCCTTGGTGCCTACTGGAATTGTTATCCGGGGTGGCTAATTTGTAAATTGTTTGCTTCAAACATAGTAGTGATGGGCACATTATACCCATATATTTCTCTCCCGACATGGTTTATGGTCAAGGATGATGTTATCATCCAGGGTACATAGGAGATGCTAGGCTGAGGAAGAAGAGCCAGATTCCAAATAATTACTATCACTCTTTCTTCTATAAAGAACAGTTAAAAGCTCCACAGCAAAGTTCATTTATACATCTGGCAACCTTTAAAGCCCCAAAGAAAGTGCTACCATTCTCTGAAGAGCTTTTTGGTGAAGCAAGCAGAATTATGAGCAGCAGGAGAAATGCTGGTAATTAACACAAGTATATGTCTCTATCTTGCCAGCTGACAGAATGAAGCCTTGAGCTAGCTCCGAACGAAATATTGAGGGAGGGAGGGAGGGAGGGAGGGAGGAAGGAAGGAAGGAAGGAAGGAAGGAAGGAAGGAAGGGAGAGAGAGAGAGAAGGAAGGAAGGAAGGAAGGAAGGAAGGAAGGAAGGAAGGAAGGAAAGGAGGGAGGGAGGGGGGGAATAAAGAGAAAGAATGAAGGAAGGAAGGGAGAGAAAGAAGGAAGGAAGGAAGGAAAGGAGGGAGGGAGGGGAATAAAGAGAAAGAAGGAAGGAAGGAGGGAGGGAGGGGAATAAAGAGAAGGAAGGAAGGGAGGGAGGGGAATAAAGAGAAGGAAGGAAGGGAGGGAGGGAGGGAGGGAGGGAGGAGGGAGGGGAATAAAGAGAAGGAAGGAAGGAAGGAAAGGAGGGAGGGAGGGGAATAAAGAGAAGGAAGGAAGGAGGGAGGGAGGGAGGGGAATAAAGAGAAGGAAGGAAGGAAGGAAGGGAAAGGAGGGAGGAGGGAGGGGAATAAAGAGAAGGAAGGAAGGAAGAAGGGGAGAGAGGGAGAGAGAGAAAGAAGGAAGAAAGAAAAGGAGGGAGGGAGGGGAATAAAGAGAAGGAAGGGAGGGGAGGGAGGGAGGGAGGGAGGAAGGAAGGAAGGGGTGAACTCTAGCATTAAAAATCAAAACCGGCAATAGAAAAAGGCAAATACCCGTTTTTCTCAGAGGATGATTGGCCTAATTTATCATTTTAAGAAGCACTAACTATATATATAACTGTATATCTATATATATCTATATAGTATGTATGTATGTGTATATATATAGATGTGTATATATATATGTATGTATATATCTGTGTCACACACACATACACAGAGAGAGAGAGAGTATAACTCATAACTAACATATCTTTCTTCTTCCTCAGATGACATTTTTAAAAAGAATTATCTCCCATTTCCAGCTATTTATACCAGCTTCTGGGGTATCTTAAGCAACACACCAGATTGTGGGGGGCGGGGGGGCGGGGCGGGGGGGAGACACATCAAATCCAGAAAGATTATGGATTCCTTTCCCCTACTGCTCATCAATTCATCCCCATCAGATTAACGTTTAGTCCTTTAAGACACTGGAAAGGTCTCCCCTCAGACCTTATCCGCAAGACCTAGAAATGCCAGCTGCACTTTCCTATTTTTTTTCCCCCTGGCTACCTAAGGGACTGAATAAATTCATGGAGGAGAGAGTCTATCAAGGGAAATAGAGGAGTCAAAGGGGAGAGAGATTTCCCATCCGCCCCTTGCAAGTTATTTATTTATTTATTTATTTGCACATATTTATATGCCGCCCTTCTCCCAAAGGACTCAGGGCGGCGAACACAAGCAAAAACATACAATAAAAATCCGAATTAAAGCCAGTTAAAATCAAATAATAATAAATAATAAAACCCAAGAATCTAAATCAGCCCATTTGTTGAAATAGCCAAGTCTTCAGGCCTCGTCGGAAGGAACGGAGATCAGGCGCTCTCCGGAGCTCGGTGGGTAACTCGTTCCAGAGGGTAGGGGCGCCCACAGAGAACGCCCTACCCCTGGACGTCGCCAGATGACATTGTCTGGTCGACAGTACCCTGAGGAGAGCTGCCCTGTGAGAGCGGACAGGACCCAGAAACTCTTCATGGGTCACCAATTCCGGACTACAGCCATCCTTGGCCCTGATCCAGTGGAGATATTCTGATGGTGTTAGAGTCAATAATGCTTGGCCAGTTGGACTGAGGCTCTGATTCAACAGTTCCTGACTGTAGGTACAAGGGTGCTATTCAGCAGGTTCTGACAGGTTCTGGAGAACTGGTAGCGGAAATTTTGAGTAGTTTGGAGAACCGGCAAATATCACCTCTGGCTGGCCCCAGAGTGGGGTGGGAATGGAGATTTTGCAATATCCTGTTCTGACCTAGGCTTCCTTAGAAAGTACACAGCACAATCTTAGTCCTGGCAAACCTCTTTAATTCATATGGCTGTGAATTATTGTCATTCCCAGTCCGAAAGGCTTCTCAAACAGTCTATCAGGGGAGTGTTTACAAACACCCACCTTATCTCCCTTGGAATGCTGCCAGAGAACTAATTGCCACACGCAGGGCAAGGTCAAACTTAGCACAGAGTCAAGCAGAGCTTTTCTAGAGCTTTTACCGACCAGATGAACTAATTTCTTCCTGCAAAAACTCACGTCCCGTTCACTTCTCTTTTATGTCTTATGGGAGGGGTCAATCATCTCCAAGCCTTACTCCCAAGTCAACCCTGTTTTCTTAATTGTTCCTGTCTTCTGGCAGCTCTGCGCATATGCACTCTGGGAACAGGCTCCCGCTGTTCTTCTGCCTTGCTGATGTCAGGCTCCAGAGACTCCAGAGGCAGCAAAAAACTACCAGATGGCCCTGGCCCCCTCTCTGCCTCTGACTCGGAGCCCTCATCAGAGCCTTCCCCAGACTCCAGGACCAGTCCATGTTGCTCCCTAACCTCCTCACCTTCCAAATCTGCTGCCAGTTCTGCTGGCTGCTGGCGGGCCACAACATATCCTTCCCTCAGGAGTGGGGAGGGAATGGGATTTTGCAATATCCTTCCCCTGCCACGCCCACCAAGCCACACCACGCCCACCAAGCAACACCTACAGAACCGGTAGTAAAAATATTTGAATCCCACCACTGTGTAGGTACTTACCCTCATTTTGGAAAAGAGGCATTTCCCAATAGTAGAGTGCCATCTTCACACTGAGAGGGCTCCAAATTTAGTCTGGGAATGACCGAAGCTCAGAAGAGCCACTGCTATTCAGCATATAAACAACGCTTAGCCAGACACACCAATTATCCGGTTATAATGTGAAACAGATTCCTATTGTATGTACTGTATCTATCCTCACTTGGAGAAAAGCCATCGCTTAATAGTAAGAGATAGATTTCTGATAATGAGGTTAAGGAGGACCCGATAGACTTGTTGACCCTTGCCCTTCCATTTAGATATGATACCTAGGTGACCTTGTCTGACCTCAAAAAAGCTGAGGGCAGCTGAATGGGACATTCAGTACCTGAATGAAGGTCTACCAGGAAATCTGAAGCTACGGGTCAGTAAAAAATAAAATACCAGAAGTAAAAAGAACATCTCAGAAGGAAGCAACCTAATATTTATTTTATTCATGGCTTCTCTGGTTGAACAGTTTGTCTGGGACACGTACAAAATATGCTCTAGACTTGACTTTCCTCATCATTCCTGATATTGACTGGAGATCAGTGGTGAAATGCTACCGGTTCGCACCAGTTCGGGTGAACCGGTAGTGATAAAAGCTACCAGTTTGGGCAAACCGGTAGTAAAAAAAAAAGCTACCGATTGATCCGAACCAGTATTTCCGATGATCAGCTGTGCCACGTGATTTATATTAGCTAGAAAGCAGGAAATCCTGCTTTCTAGCAAATCTAAATCGCGCGGCACAGCTGTTCCCCCACCTCGCTGTTCTACTTACTTTGTTAAGCCTCCTTTTTCCGTATGAAGCGTGTGTTTGGTGCACACTGCGCATGTGCAGGCAGCAAACCGGTGGGAATCCGCGGAGGATTTCACCACTGCTGAGGATCCATGTTAGATTTGACAATCTGCTCCTAACATTTTGGGTTCCCAAAACTTGATCTGTTTCTGTTGTATCGTTGGCCACTGATGCTGCCTTCCTATCATAATTGTATCTAATTCTTGAAACATAAACTATAGAAGAGTTTTTATAATTCTCTGATAAAGTTAGTGTAGTGAATACCAGAGCTCTTTAAAGTTTTTCGTTAAATGTTGGAGAACTGCGTCAAATTACAACAGAACCGGCCTTCTGTTTTAGTTCCCCAAGTCAAGAGCTTCTATAGCTAAAAGATTTCCTGAGCTGTTCTGCCCCAGCTATGGACCCCAAAGAACGCAGCACACACAAAGTCCGTTCAAACCTTAGTTTACTAAATAAACCAGTTTTTTGCAACAACGGCTGTTAATTAACTGCATTAACAGCTGCCAAGAATTCAAAGAATAATACTGAAAGCTTACTGTGGTTGACAGAATGCCCAGAAGTAATTTGCAGGAAACTGATAAGATAAGCAAGACAAGACACGAAGGTATGTGAATGAAGTTGTTCCCTGCAAATTGCTTCAGTCGGCATTCCTCCTTAAATAGGCTAAGGGAGTGGCCAATTAGCCCCAAGCCTTACTCTCGAGGAGCCACTCCTGCCTTTTGGCAGCTCTGCACACCCGTGCATCGAGAAGAGGCTCCTCCTCTTCGCCCTCTTCACTTAAGGGAGCTTCTGGAGGTCCTGAAGGCCCTGGTTGAAACCCCGCCTCTGGCACCACATCTTCGCCAGCCTCCTCATTGTCTGACTCGAGCACCAGCTGCACAGGCTGCTGGCGCAGCACCACACCAGCCTCCTTGCTGTCAGAATCAGCTACTAGCTGCACAGGCCACTGACGGGCCACAACAGGAGCATTCTTAGGTCCCTTATTATATTACTATCAAGCCCAAG